TGCCTCTGAGAGCGGGTGTGGCTGGGAACATATGTGTAGGTAAACAGCATCGGGTTATATATGCGGTGGAAATCAGACAATTGCCCAGGTTGCTGCGCGTGGCAATGAGGCCCGTACAATGCCCTCGGCTACATTTGTCAGGGTTGTTTATCATAACTGTAAATAGCAGCGACAGGTGCACTGCGGATCATTTACCGCCGTTGGTCTATTATTATAGCAATCTTTGTATACTTCATTACTCATAGGACTAACTATACCTCTTCAGAACAGGATGTTAAAGCAGGTATTTTCCTTTACTGGATTGTCAAAGTATGTCACTTTTTGGTTTCATGTATCACACTTACATTGGGAAAATTACCAGCTGACATATAATATTTTGAATTTGTCTTCAGGGTTATTCATGAAGACCAGATATTCCGTGTCATTCTTATTGGCTGCTGTTTGCACGGATTTAGGTGTAAACCGTTGCGGCCTCTGCACTTTCGCAACATATGGCACAGAACCGCGTATGCAGATAATGTGGATACAACAAAGAGCTCGCCATATTCGGAGGGAAATGGGACATAGAGTCACATACATTTTCATGTACATTCGACCCTACGTGCTGGGAATGCGAGCACGGCTTTCATAAGTCACGTGAATCGACGCAAATGTAGGGCTCGGCGGCCATGGCGGGCGGGGCGGGGAGGGGTCGGGGAGGGGGCTGCATCTCTCGCTCCTCCCTTCGCCATAACGGAAGTTTTCACTCCCTCGCTTCGCCCTCTATCTCCTCTCCTCCCTTCCTCCTCAGCCTTTCTAGCAGCAGATATTTCAATATCGCGAAACGGGAGCGGCGGTGACTCCATTCGTCCCCCCGAGCGTTTTAAAGACACTCTTCCCCTTCTGGCAACAGCTCGCGGTTACCAGTTGTTGATTTAGGAGGTTCACGGACGAGCTGTTTCGTTGTTTATGAGAGCGGAACCTCTGACCTCCGGCGTGGCGTGTCCTGGTGCTGCGCAGAGGCCTGGACGCGACGCCCGCTAGCTGGGACGAGCGCGTTTCACGCCAGGTATTTCGCAGCTGCGGCAAATTGGGCGATCGGAGCGCTACACACTGGCGTCTTGTTGCGGCCGCGCGCTGGGCTTTCGTTAACTAGTGCTCTTCGTCGTGTATTGTTTGGTTGATGATACACTTCCTGGATGCAATCTGTGCAGGTTGGTTCATTAGAATCGATTTGAATCCCCAAATTCACAAATAGAGCACTCTCGCCACCATATGGAGAGGCCTGCGATCGAACCACACCAAGACGGCAGCCCCGCCCGCGCTGCGCGAGGCGCTCCATGACCTCATTGCAGGCAGGTTTCCAAGCACCACCTCGCCCCCCCCCTTCCCAACTCCCCAACGCCCACCCACTCGCCACCTTCCCATCCTTAGGTGACCGGAAGACCATATTAGGAAGGGGTGCGCTGACGTCCCTCGCGCCGGTCCTTTATCCATCCTTGCTCTCAGAAGGAGTTCCTGCCGCGGGGATGCTGGGGAGGGCGGCCGCGTGGAGAGGGGAGGAGGAAGGGTGGAGAGGAAAGGGGAATCTGCAGGAGGATAGGATCAAGGACAACGATAGAAACTCTGACATTAGTGTTAAAACTGATGGATATGTATAAACTGTATAATATAGATACTGACGAAGATAAAGTGAACAAAAAGGGAGACGCGGAAACATGAAGTAGAAGAATGAAAAGAAGAAAAACTAATTGATTGAAAGAGGGAGGGGAGTAATGATAATAATAATGATAATGATAGTAATGATAAAATAATAAGGATAATGCTACTACTACTACTAGTAGTTCTAGTAGTTATGAAAATAATGATAATAATAGTAATAATGATGAAAATTATAGTAAAAATAATAATAATGATACCTCTACTACTACTACTACTACTAATGGTAATGATAATAATGGTGATAATAATGAGGAAAAATAATAACATTTATGATAACAAATAATGACAATAATAATGACAATAACAGTAGCAATAATTATAATAGGAAATACAAAACAACAACGAAACACCACAAGAAAAAACAAACAATCCCAACGATTAAACAACAACAAACGGGGAAAGGAAGCGAGGACAAAGAACCGAAAAGGCAAATCACCCAAAGCGGAGGAAAGAGACAGAAGAAGGAGAAGGAGAGGGAGGAGGCGACGTCACAGTCGACGAGCTCATTTGCCGCCTCCGGGATTAAAGGGACGGGGACTCTCCTGCAGGTGAGGCCGCCGCCTCCATGGGGAAGGGAAGGGGGAGGAGAGGCGAGGGGAGGGGAAAGGGAAGGGGAGGGAGAGGAGAGGGAATAGGAAAGGGGAGGGAGAGGAGAGGGAAGAGGGAAGGGGAAGGAGAGGAGAGGGAAAAGGGAAGTGGACGAAGAAGAGAGGGAAGGGGAGGTAGAGGAGAGGGAAAAGGAAAGGGGAGGGAGAGGAGAGGGGAAATGGAAGGGGAGGGAGAGGAAAAGGAGAGAGAAGAAGGAAGGGAGAGGGGAAAGGGGGGAAAAGGGAAGGGAAAGTAAAGGGATAAGGGGAGGTATAGAAAATGGGAAAGGAAATGGAAGGGAGAGGAGGTAAGAATCAGAATCAAATAATTTATTTAGCCAAATACAATACATCAACAAAAATACAACATATTACACTAGTGGTATGGCTGAGCCCTCCAGGAGTGAGACTCCCTTAGGAGGGCCCCTTGAACTATTAAACATTAAAAACTAGAAAGAGCAATCAGCATATAATGTAAGTAAACAAGTAAACTAATCATACATATACTAAGTGACATTGTACATAATGATATTAAAGGAATTTATAGGCAGAATAGCATGGCATACATTATATGTATAAATAAAAATATACACGCATATACATACACACGCATACCTACATACACATACACTCATATACATACTCATATATAAACATGGACATATGCATATATAGATACACATACATATATGTATACATATAGACATACACATACATAAATACACATACATATATATGCTCAGACATACATTCATACACAAACACACACACCCAATGTGCATATACGTATATATACATGCACACATACACATACATACAAATATACATATACATACACACACACAGACATACACACACATATATATACACACATATATAAGAGGGAAAAGGGGAGGGAGAGAAGAGAGAGAAGAGGGAAGGGAGCTGAGAGGGAAAGGGGAAGAAGAGAGGGAGAGGGAATGAAAAGGAGGGGAGAGAGAGGGAAAAGGGAAGGGAAAAAAGGGAGCAGCTGAGGAGAGGGGAGGAAATAGAGAGGGGATGGGTGAGAGAAAAGGGGGCAAGGGGAAGGAAGGAAATAGGTAGGAGACGGGGAGGCAGAAAAGTGGGAGGAAAAGGGAGGGAATAAGGAGAAAAGAAGGTATAAGGTAGGGGGAAAGGGAAGGGGGGAAAGGTGAAGAAAGAAGGGAGGGAAAAGAGAAAGGCAGGAAGGGAAGGGAAATGTTGTGGAGGGATGGGAGGGAGAGGGGAGGAAGGGAGAGAAAAGAAGGAAAAGGGAAAGAAAGGGAAACGAGACATAGAGAAGGGACAGGAAAGGGGGGGGGAGAGGAAGAGAGGAAAATAAAAAGGAAGGGAAGGGAAGGGGAGGAGGAGAGGCAGGAGCGAAGGGAGGGGAAGAGAGAGGAGAGAGAATGAATTGAGGGGAAAGAGAGGGAAGAGAGAAATATGAAATGGATAGATAGATAGAAAAACAGAAAGAAAGAGGGAGAGGTACGATTTTGATCTGAAAAATGTATGCATTACATACAACAAGAGGAGGAGGGGGAGAAAGGGGAAAAGAGGGAGAAAAAAATAAGAGAGAGAAAGAGAGAGGCAGAGAAATTGATGGCGAAATGGAAGGATAGAAACGGAGAGAATGAAGGGGGACCGAATGAGAGAAGGAGAGACGAGGAAGGGAAAGAGGGAGATAAAAAAAATATGCGCAAGGAAAAAGAGGAATAAGGAATATAAGAGAATGGAAAAAAGTAAGGAAAGGGAGTGGGGAAGCAAGAGGAGTGGACGGTAGAGGGAGGGAGAGAGCGAGAGAGAGAGAGAGAGAGAGAGAGAGAGAGAGAGAGAGAGAGAGAGAGAGAGAGAGAGAGAGAGAGAGAGAGAGAGAGAGAGAGAGAGAGAGAGAAAGAGAAATAAAGAAAGAGACCGAGATAAAGGGGCAAAGGAGGCCATGCGCGGATAACCAAGGTCAGCCCGATGTGTTTGGACAGGCAACATTCCCATCTTATCGCTTTCGTCATCTGTGCTTCCTTGTCCTCAGTAGCTTAACAAGGACGTCTGAAATATGTGCAAATGCACAGGGGAATTCATGAAAGAGAGGGCCGCGTGAGATGGGCGGAGATTTGAGGATAGGGAGTGGGTGAGTAGAGGTTGAGGGGCTGTGGAGTGTGTGAGTGGAGTTTTTAGGGCTCTGGAGTGGGTGAATAAAAGTTCAAGGGCTATAGGCTAGGTGAAAGGGGGTTCAAGGGCTGTGGAATGGTAGAGTTGAGGTTGAGGGGTTGTGTAGAGGGTGAGTGGAGGTTGAGGAGCAGTTGAGTGGTTGAGTAAAGGTCCTAAGGCTGTGGAGTGAGTGGGTGGAAGTTGAGGGGGTGTGGAGAGGGTGAGTGGAGGTTGAGGGGCTGTGGAGTGGGTGAGTGGAAGTTCTAGGGTTGTGGAGTGGGTGAGTAAAGGTCCTAAGGCTGTGGAGTGAGTGGGTGGAAGTTGAGGGGCTGTGGAGTGGGTGAGTGGAGGGTGAGGGGCTGTGAAGTGGGTGAGTGGAGGTTCTAGGGTTGTGGAGTGGGTGAGTAAAGGTCCTAAGGCTGTGGAGTGGGTGAGTGAAGGTTGTAGGGTTGTGGAGTGGGTGAGTAAAGGTCCTAAGGCTGTGGAGTGGGTGAATGGAGGTTGAGGGGCTGTGAAGCGGGTGAGGGGAGGTTTAGGAGCTGTGTCGGGAGTGAGTAGAGGTTCTTAAGCTGTGGAGTGGGTGAGTAAAGGTTGAGGGGCTGTGGAGTGGTTGAGTAGAGGTTCCCGAGCTGTGGAGTGAGTAAGTGATGTGAGTAAAGGTCCTAGGGCTATGGAGTGGGAGAGTGAAGGTTGAGCGGCTGTGGAGTAGGTGAGTTGAGGTTGAGGGACTGTGGAGTGAGTGGGTGGAGATTGAGGGGCTGTGGAGTGAGTGGGTGGAGGTTGAGGGGCTGTGGAGTGGATGAGTAGAGGTTGAGGGGCTGAGGAGTAGGTGAGTGGAGGTTGAGGGGCTGTGGAGTGAGTGGGTGGCGGTTGAGGGGCTGTGGAGCGAATGAGTAGAGTTTGAGGGGCCGTGGAGTGGGTGAGTGGAGTTTCTAGGGTTGTGGAGTGGGAGAGTGAAGGTTGAGGGGCTGTGGAGTGAGTGGGTGGCGGTTGAGGGCTGTGGAGCGAATGAGTAGAGTTTGAGGGGCCGTGGAGTGGGTGAGTGGAGTTTCTAGGTTGTGGAGTGGGAGAGTGAAGGTTGAGGGGCTGTGGTGGGTGGGTGGGTTGAGGGGCTGTGGAGCGAATGAGTGGAGTTTGAGGGGCCGTGGAGTGGGTGAGTGGAGTTTCTAGGGTTGTGGAGTGGGAGAGTGAAGGTTGAGGGGCTGTGGAGTGGGTGGGTGGGGGTTGAGGGGCTGTGGAGTGGGTGAGTGGAGTTTGAGGGGCTGTGGAGTGGGAGAGGGAAGGGGCTGTTTGGGGAAGTTCAGAGCGAGTGATCGAGGGATGGGGCTGTTTAGGTTTGAAGGCTGAGGTGTTGTGGAGTGGGTGAGCAGCTGTGGATTGGTGAGCTGAAGAGGGTGAGTGGAGGTTGAGGGGCTGTTGAGTGGATGAGTAGAGGTTGAGGGGCCGTGGAGTGGGAGAGTGGAGGTTGAGGGGCTGTGGAGTGGGTGAGTGGAAGGGGCTGTTTGGGGAAGTTCAGAGTAAGATGATCACGGGAAGGGGCTGTATGAGGAAGTTCAGAGCAGTGATGGAGGAAGGGGCTTTTTTGGGGAAGTTCTGAGTGAGTGATTGAGGGAAGGGGCTGTTTGGGGAAGTTCTGAGTGAGTGATTAAGGGAAGGTGCTGTTTGGGGAGGTTTAGAGTGTGATCGCGGGAAGGGGCTGTTTAGGGAAGTTTAGAGTACGGAGTGGGAGGGAGTGGGGAAAACGAGAACAGCAGATAGAATCACGAGAAAGCGGGCGAGGAGGGAGGTGGGGGGGGGCGGACACGGGCGCAGCATGTAGGGTCGGGGAGTCGAGCCTTTGCCATGAAAAGGGCAGAAGGAGGAATGCTCTAACAGGGGCTGGGGAGGGGGGATGAGCAGGGGACGGGAGGAAGGGGAGCGGAGAGGGGTATGGGGTGGGGTCTGATGAAGGCAGGCAGGTAGTTGCATCATCATGGGTGTTGTTTACTCTGCCGCGCACTCTCTCGGCCCCTTCCTCCCCTGCGCGGTGGGCGGCGTGGCTCCCGTCGGCTCCCGAAGGACTCTTCTTGCCGCCTTTTTTCGGGCGCGCGAGCGAGGATTATGGATCACGGAGGCCGCCTCGCCGCAGACACCTGATATTTGTTCTTGGCGGCTGCGGCGTCTAAGCAAACAGAAGCCAAACTGGGCTTGTTATTTTATTAAGGGGCGGAGCTCACAAGATGTTTATGCCAGTTGGCTCTGCATTTATTTGCTTTTAATTTCATCGGCAGAGTGCGGCGACGCAATCCTGTGGTGGCGGTGAAATACCACTACTGGTTGGCATTCGGATTGTCCTCTGGAGAGTTCCTTTGTGTTTAATTCAGTCTTGTGGCGTCGGAATTCGATATAAAGACTCGGGGATTTCAT